GGTTTCAGAGAAGCAGCCGTGTTAGTCTGTATTCGCAAAAAGAAAAGGAGGACTTGTGGCACCTTAGAGACTAACCAATTTATTTGAGCATGAGCTTTCGTGAGCTACAGCTCACTTCAATGGATGCGTCCGATGAAACACATTGTGAAGAGAGTGGTCACTTTGGATGGGCTATTACCAGCAGGAGAGTGAGTTTGTGTGTGGGGGGGGCGGAGGGTGAGAAAACCTGGATTTGTGCTGGAAATGGCCCAACTTGATGATCACTTTAGATAAGCTATTACCAGCAGGACAGTGGGGTGGGAGGAGGTATTGTTTCATGGTCTCTGTGTGTATATAATGTCTTCTGCAGTTTCCACGGTATGCATCCGATGAAGTGAGCTGTAGCTCATGAAAGCTCATGCTCAAATAAATTGGCTAGTCTCTAAGGTGCCACAAGTACTCCTTTTATTTTTGTGAATACAGACTAACACGGCTGTTACTCTGAAACCTGTCGTTATGCAATGAGACTCTCAAACACAGGAAGAAACATAAAACAAGACGTCACACATATTCAGATGGGCCATTCATCCCAACAGAAGCTGAAGATCAGCTATAGAAAAACTATGCCACCATGAATTCCTTCCAACTTCTATCCCCAGTGGGAATGAATCGCTCTATTGCCATTAGAAGTTACACTGTAATTAATCCCAAAGAAGAAAGGCCTAGGAAAGAGCAGACTGGTTAGGAACATTTGACTCTTGTTCAGTTTTCAGATTCAGAGGCAAAGAATACGGATTTGGCCCTTAGTTTTTAGTGTTTGCCTCTGAGTATAAAGCAGCTGAGGATCTTCTGTCAATAAGCTTGTCATAAATATAAAGGGAAGGGTAAACCCCTTTAAAATCCCTCCTGGCCAGAGGAAAACTCCTCTCACCTGTAAAGGGTTAAGAAGCTAAAGGTAACCTCGCTGGCACCTGACCAAAATGACCAATGAGGAGACAAGATACTTTCAAAAGCTGGGAGGAGGGAGAGAAACAAAGGGTCTGTGTCTGTCTGTATGCTGCTTTTGATGGGGATAGAACAGGAATGGAGTCTTAGAACTTTTAGTAAGTAATCTAGCTAGGTATGCGTTAGATTATGATTTCTTTAAATGGCTGAGAAAAGAACTGTGCTGAATAGAATGACTATTTCTGTCTGTGTGTCTTTTTTGTAACTTAAGGTTTTGCCTAGAGGGATTCTCTATGTTTTTAATCTAATTACCCTGTAAGGTATCTACCATCCTGATTTTATAGAGGTGATTCCTTTACCTCTATTTACTTCTATTTCTATTAAAAGTCTTCTTGTACGAAAACTGAATGCTTTTTCATTGTTCTCAGATCCAAGGGTTTGGGTCTGTGGTCACCTATGCAAATTGGTGAGGATTTTTACCAAACCTTTCCCAGGAAGTGGGGTGCAAGGGTTGGGAGGATTTTGGGGGGAAAGACATGTCCAAACTACGTTTCCCAGTAAACCCAGTTAGAGTTTGATGGTGGCAGTGGATATTCCAAGGACAAAGGATAAAATTAATTTGTACTTTGGGGAAGTTTTAACCTAAGCTGGTGAAAGTAAGCTTAGGAGGTTTTCATGCAGGTCCCCACATCTGTACCCTAGAGTTCAGAGTGGGGGAGGAACCTTGACAAAGCTCTTAGCTAAAAATCACATCTCTGTGCTATAAATACATATTTATTTCTGCAACCCCCTTGGGACACCCACTAGGCCTCAGCCCTGCCTGTTTTTAGCCAAGGGTCCTTCCAGGGATGTTGCCATCGGGTAAGATCCAGGGCAGGTGCTGTTGCCCCTCTTTGGGGTGAGGGTCAGCTAGAGCAGATTGTCAGGATGGTTTGTAAAATCCCCCAGCTCCTCAAACTCCCCAGCTCTAATTCAGAACTCAGTGAGACTACGTATCTTGCCTTTAGTATGTCCTTAGCCTTCACCTGTTTTGTTTTAATAATTGTGTCATATGTTCAGATCTTCAAAACAGTGCTGAGAATCCCCTCTGAGCAGGGCCGGCATAAAGCCTTCTCCACCTGCCTTCCTCACCTGGCTGTAGTCTCCGTGTTTGTTTCCACTGGCATCTTTGCCTACATTAAAAACCCACCTCCAGCTCGACATGAGGTCTGGATCTCCTGGCGACTGTTCTCTACCCTGTGGAACCGCCAGTGATGATTCCAATCATCTATAGCCTGAGGAACAAGGAGATCAAAGCTGCTCTGTGGAAAATGATTGGGTCAACGCTATTCTCCAAAAAATAAAATGGCCATCTTTCTCCCATGACCGTCATCTCATTCTGTTTTTTTATAAATATAATCAACTGATGACATTATTGTTTCCATGAGAACCTAGTGTGCAATCCATTTATGCACACTGAGGGATTTACACTGGTAAATATCCAGACAAATGCCCCTCAATTCAATGGGGTTACTATAGATTTACACTAGCATAAATATCAAAATCTATCTATCCCCAGCCACACCCATCTATCTATCTATCTGTATGTGGCTTTTATATTGCTGCCCATCACCATGCTATCTGAGCACATTCCACATAAAATCAGTAGACATATAAAAGTTTTCAAGGGGTCTAAGGCTCTTCACCGTTTGGGCAGAGGGGTAAAAATTGTACTTGGGATACGAGTTGTTTGTTTCTCTGCTTGACTGTATCTTCTGGGTTTTTTTGTTTTGTTGATTTTATTCTTTGGTTGGTTGATTCGTTTCTTTGTGCCAGATGTTTTTGGGGGTGGGAGTTTGGGAGGGTGGGGTCTTTTTGGTTCAATGGCAGTATCAATTTTTTAACATCTAGTATTGGGTGTGTCAATGTGTCGTCTCTTCAATGGGGTTTTCTGAGAGAGCTGAAGGCATGTTTTGACAATAGTGAACAGGAGGAAAAGAGTTTCTGTAGGCATCTGGCTAATTTTTCAGCAGGTGCAGCTGGGTTCAGCACCTGCAGTTATTCCCTGGAGTAAGTTGAGCAACCAGCTGGCCTTTTCTAAACAAATTATGATTTATTTACCACCATAACAGAGCATCACATAAAAGAAAATATTGCAGATATCATCACACCAGTGGCTTTGGTAGGGTAAACATTTGGCCTCATTATCCAGAGCCAGTTTGTCTTTAGGAAACAATGGAAAACCTTTCACTTCAGAAAATCCTTTTCACCATAGGAATAACACAACATTCATTGCTTTATTTAAATAAAATAATAAAAGGATCCCTAGACAAGGCTCCATGCAGCCTGACCCATTCATAAAGTCACATAGTCACAGAGTTCAAGTTAAGAAGGGACCACCAGATCATCCAGTCTGCACACCCACACACTACACCCAACAAGTGAAACGAGACCAAAGTAAATGAGACCCACAGGAGACCAGATGGTTCTGTGCCACAGGCAGAGAATAGGAGGAACTGAGGGCACCAGTGCCTGACCCCGCAATGGCAGGGAGATGATTAAGTGAGATAGACCCAGATAATCCTGGCAAGTGACCCGCACCCCACACACTTCAGAGGAAGGACAACTCCCCCCCCCACCAAAAAACAACACCAATCTGAGCTGGGGGAAAATTCCTTCCCAACCCCACAAATGGTGATGAATTAGACCTTGAGCATGTAAGCAAGAAACAGCCAGCAAAGCACCTGAGAGAGAGAGAATGGCTGAAAATGCAGAGCCCTGGCACATGCCACCCAATGTCCCATCTCCAGGCATGGCCATCCCCAATGCTTCAGTGGAAGGAGATAAAAAACCCACCCAGAATGCACTGGGGAGGGGGGATGCCTTCCTGACCCCTGCCAGTGGCCAGATGAAACCCTGAAGCATGAGTTTTAGGAACATAAGACATAAAGCAAAAGTAAGCCCTGCCCCCCCACCATCACAAGGAATCCCATCATACAATCACATTCATAAAATTTGTCCAGCTCTTTCTTAAAACTAATTAAGTTTTTTGCCCCACAACTCCTATTGGGAGGCTGCTCCAGAAACTGCACCCCCTCTAAGAGTTGGAAACCTTCCTGTAATTTCTAGCCAGTATCTGGATCTCTCACACTCCCAAATGTACACTCGATCCAGGCTAACACAGTGTGGCTTCTTGTCCCCATCTAGTGGGTAGACCACATATGTCAGTTTATGAGCCTAGAAGGCTTTGTCCTTCAGTGCAGGCTCATGCTTGAAACTCTGAAAGCCCTGGGTTCAAATCTCTGCAAATTATCTGTGAAGGGACATTGTTATAGTGTTACACATAGAAGCACACAAAATAGACGCTTCCCTCCCTCTGCACACACAACTACTCCACATATACACAAACGTGACAAAACACACAAGTGTAGAGTCCAGATTTGCTCCAGTGTAACTGAGATCAGAATACAGCTCTAAAGGCTCAGCTGCAAAGTGAGAAGGCTGCAGTAATTGAAAGAAATGTGGCCACTCTGCAATAAATATACATGTCAAACCCCAATTAGTATAAGTTGGCCTAGCTCCAATAAAGTCAATAGGCCTGATCCCCAAATGCCGTACATTGGTTTAGCTCCATCCAAGTCAACATTGATTTAATGAGGATCCACCCCAACATTGATTTAATGAGGATAGGTGTCTATCACATACACCAGTTTAACACCAGTCTGACTCCTTTGGTTCCAATGAAGCCATTCCTGATTTATACACACAAAGGCAAGAAAATCCTCATACTTGTTTTTAGTGGCCATGAATCAGGTACAAATGGCCAAGGAGTCTACCAGGTATTGTTTTGGCAGAGAATGAAAGTCTGATTCTTCTCACATGCAGAGTGTACACCAATTTAACTCCACCAATTTAACTCCAGATCTTCTGCTGGTGTAAATCAGCCCAGCTGCATTAACATCAGTGGAGTTAATCTGGCTTTGCAACAGTGCAGCTGAGATCAAAATCTGACCTGTGTGAGTGTAAGCTGTCATGGATATAATTGACTTTAATGAAGAGGGAAAGTGAGGGAACATTTATTGTTGAAAGGCAGAAAATTAATTATTGGTGAATAACTTCCACCCAGTCAGTCTCCTCAGGGCACCTTTGATTTCCTTGTTCCTCATGCTGTAGATGATTGGATTCATCACTGGTGGCACCATGGAATAGAGAACAGCCACCACAAGATCCAGAGTAGATGGGGAACTGGAGATGGGTTTCAGGTAAGCAAAGAAGCCAGTGAAAATAAACAAGGAAACCACAATGAGGTGAGGAAAGCAGGTGGATAGGGCTTTATGCTGGCCCTGCTCAGAGGGGATTCTGAGCACTGATTTGAAGATCTGAACATATGACACAATGATAAAAACAAAGCAGCCTAAGGCTAAACATATACTAAAGGCAAGAACCCTAACTTCTCTCAAATATGAGTCAGAGCAGGTGAGCTTGAGTAGCTGGGGGATTTCACAGAAGAACTGATCCACTATGTTGCCATTACAGAAGGTCAATGCAAACACGTTTCCAGTATGTAGCACAGAGTAGAGAATCCCACTGATCCAGGCACTGGCTGCAAGTCGGACACAAGCTCTGCTGTTCATCATTGCCTCATAGTGCAGTGGTTGGCAGATGGCGACATATCGGTCATACGCCATGACGATGAGAAGGGAAAAATCTGCTGTCAGGAAGGAGAGAAGGAAAAAGACTTGGGCAACACATCCAGCATAGGAAATGGACTTGGTGTTCATGAGGGAGTTGGCCATGGATTTGGGGACAGTGACAGAGATGGAGCCAAGGTCTACGACGGAGAGATTCATCAGGAAGAAGTACATGGGGGTGTGAAGGTGGTGGTCGAAGGCTATGGCCATGAAGATAAGAAGATTCCCCACCAGGGCTGCCAGGTAAATCACTAGAAACACCAGAACGTGCAAAATCTGCAGCTCCCAAATGTCAGAGAATCCCAGGAGAAGGAACTCGGTCACAGTGGTTCGGTTGGACATTTTCTTTCTCAGGACATCGTGTGATGGCTGTGGAGGGAAGGACAAGAGCAAGGGCCAGGATTAGATCAGTTAAATAACTCTCCTTTTGTGAAAACCACCTTAATTTCCTTGAGTTTGACCCTTAGCTTGTGAAGATTGGTGTAATATGGGAATGAGGATGGGGAAAACACCCCACTCACTCCAGTGGAGTTACTCCTGATTCACACTGGGGTGATGGAGAGGAGAATTAGGACCAATTGCTTTTGAGTAGGGCTGTCAATTAATTGCAGTTAACTCAAGCAATAAACTCAAAACCAATTAACTTGATTAAATTAATCGTGATTAATTGTGGTTTTAATCGTACTGTTAAACCATAATAGAATACCAATTTAAATTTATTATAAATGTTTTTGGATGTTTTTCTACATTTTCAAATATATTGATTTCAATTACAACACAGAATACAAAGTGTACAGTGCTCACTTTATATTACTATTTTTGATTACAAACATTTGCTTACTTCTTTAACTTGCTGGCAAGAATACTGTGGGAAACTGAATCAAAAGCTTTGCTAAAGTCAAGATACAATTCAAATCTTTTCTCATCATCAGTCAGCCTTTTGTTTATTTTTTTACAGTGCAAATCTTTGTAATCAAAAATAATAATATAAAGTGACTTCTGTACACTTTGTATTCTGCATTCTAATTGAAATCAATATATTTGAAAATGTAGAAAAACATCCCAAAATATTCTAAATAAATTTCAATTGGCATTCTATTATTGTTTAACAGTGCAATTAAAACTGCGATTAATTGTGATTATTTTTTTTAATCATTTGACAGCCCTACTTTTGAGGTACATGTATAACTTTGCCACCCAGAGGTGGACGAGCTCTGGATAACGGTATATAAATGTCACTATCCTCAGTTTACTGAAGGGAATCGGGGGCCTAGCTGGCCAGATTCTGCTGTCAGGGGCACTGCTGTGAATGTGGAGTAATTTCACTGCATGCCATGGAATTACTCCCCATTTAAACTGCTCTAAACGGGAGCAGCATCTAGCATGGAGGTGACCGAGCCCAGTCATAATTACACAGTGAACTCTAGTCAGGAATACAGCCCATGGGTCCTGACACCCCATCCCCCGTTCTAGCCGGGGTTCCACTCTCACTGTGAGACAGACATTACAGCTCCCCTCCTGATTCTCTAACCACTCAACTAAATTCCCTCCCAGAGCCTGGAAGAGAACCCTGGAGTCCTGACTCCCAGTTTGCTCCCTGCTCTAACCCACAAGCCAAGAGTTCTGGATCTGCCCACTGAGCTCAACTCCATCCCAGAGCTGGGAACACAACTGAGGTGGCTGGACTCCCAGTCCTCTCCTCTAATCACTACCTTTGACTGCATCTCAGCCTCTCTCTGGCCAATGACTCTCCATGGCCATCAGGAATGACTGCTGCGAGTGACAATGGAGAGTCATTGGGACAGGGAATTCTCCAGCGTGGTAATTGGCGCACTCATCTTGTGTCTGGCACAGCCAAGTTCAACTCCCTGCTCCAGTGACTACTTAATTATTGATACAAAATGGAGCTGCCTCAACAGGAGAGAATGAGAAAAGTACCTCTCTAGGTAACCCATTACCGTGCTTCACCACCCTCCCAGTGAAATACTGTTTCCTAATATCCAACCTGGACCTCCCCCACTGCAACTTGAGACCACTGCTCCTTGCTCTGTCTTCTGCCACCACTGAGAACAGCTGAGCTCCATCCTCTTTGGAAGCCCCCTTCAGGTAGTTGAAGGCTGCTATCAAATCCCCCCTCACTCTTCTCTTTTGCAGACTAAATAACCATCAGCATCTCCTCGTAAGTCATGTGCCCCAGCCCCCTAATAATTTTTGTTGCCCTCCGCTGGACTCTCTCCAATTTGTCCACATCCCTTATGTAGTGGGGGGACCACAACTGGATGCAATATTCCAGGTGTGGCCTCACCAGTGTCGAATAGAGGAGAATAATCACTTCCCTCGATCTGCTGGCAATGCTCCTACTAATGCAGCCCAGTATGCCATTGGCCTTCTTGGCAACAAGGGCACACTGCTGACTCATATCCAGCTTTCTGATCCACTGTAATCCCCTGTTCCTTTTCTGCAGAACTACTGCTTAGCCAGTCAGTCCCCAATCTGTAGCAATGTAAGGGATTCTTCCTTCCTAAGTACAGGACTCTGCACTTGTCCATGTTGAACCTCATCAGATTTCTTTTGGCCCAATCCTCCAACTTGTCTAGGTCATTCTGGACCCTATCCCTACCCTCCAGTGTATCTACCTCTCCCCGCAGCTGAGTGTCATCTGCGAACTTGCTGAAGGTCAAATTCATCCCATCATCCAGATCATTAATAAAGATGATTAACTAAACCAGCCCCAGGACCAACCCCCGGGGCACTCCAATTGATACCAGCTGCCAACTAGACTTTAAGCCATTAGTCACTACCCACTCAGCCTGACAACCTAGCCAGCTTTCTATCCACCTTTTAGTCCATTCACTAATCCATACTTCTTTAATTTGCTGGCAAGAATACTGTGGAAGACCATATCAAAAGCTTTGCTAAAGTCAAGATACAATTCAAATCCCTGCTCATCATCAATCAGAAGGAAGGTTTGAACCTGGGTCTGTCACATGCCAGCTTATTACCCTAACCACTCAGCTTCAAGTTATGGGGGGAAGGGGTGCCTGTCCTTATGAGAGACAGAAATGGGACTCAGTAGTTCTGGTTCCTCTCTGCCTGCTCTCTACACTGGAGTGAACTTCCTCCCAAATCCACAAATAGAACCCAGGACTCCTGGCTCTCAGTCCCTACAACTCTAACCCACTAGACCCCATACCCTTCCCAGAGCTGCGGATAGAAACCAGGAATCCTGGATCCCAGCCCTGCTGCTCTAACCCACTAGACTCAACTCCCCTTGCAGCAATCTAATAGTCAGAAGTAACAATAAACATGGAAAAAAGAAAGAGGAGTACTTGTGGCCCCTTAGAGACTAACAAATTTATTTGAGCATAAGCTTTCGTGGGCTAAAACCCACTTCATCGGATACATGCAGTGGAAAATACAGTAGGAAGATATATATATATATATATATATATACACAGAGAACATGAAAAAATGGGTGTTGCCATGTTCACTATAATGAGAGTGATCAGTTAAGGTGACAAGTATCAGACGGGTAGCCATGTTAGTCTGGATCTATAAAAGCGGCAAAGAGTCCTGTGGTGCCTTATAGACTGACAGACGTATTGGAGCTTAAGCTTTCGTGGGTGAATACCAACTTTGTCGGATACATGTCAGTTAAGGTGAGTTATTATCAGCAGGAGAAAAAAACCTTTTGTAGTGATAATCAGGATGGCCCATTTCCAACAGTTGACAATGAACACAGAGAGAGAGAAAGAGAGGGAGAACTAGACACAAACTGACGGATAGATAGATAGATAGATGTAACAACAAACTAACAGAGAGACACAAGTTAGAAAAGAACAGATACAGAGAGTGAGAGAGAAACACAGAACTAACACAAGCTAAAGGTAGATAGAGAAGTAAAAACAAACTAATTGAGAGAGAAAAGTACAAGCAGACAGACAGACAGCAATAACAACAAACTAATGTATAGACAGAGAAAAGTAACAGTGAGCTGATAGTGTTTGTCACATTTTTTTGACAATTTTAATGTAAACTTCTCAGTCCATTCTAAAAAATATTTGTGTCAATTTGATCAATTCCCCCACTCCCAATAGGAGGAAACTGTGGCATGGATATTCTGCCCTCTCTTTCCTAAGGTATGTGCTTTGGATTACCTCAGTTTCCCATGCCCAAATCGAGCTAAAAAAATACATATTGTCATTTACAATTTTGTCCTTAAAGAGCCACTCTGTAATCCCCAAATATATTTCATTGCAAGAGCAAACTTACAGTGCCGGTCTGTGTGGAATCCATCAGACTGAGATGTCTTTTCTCCTCGAGCTACAGACTGCAATTGGTTGCCCCTCTCTCTCCAGCCCCATACACACCGCTCTATCAATCTCTCTGTCTAATGCTCCTATCACTGTATTATGGGAGGACATTCCCCCACTGCACTGAGCCTGAGCTGCTGGAAATACATTGAGATCTGTGCTGTCTGCAGATGAGCTCTGTGTCAAAAAGATTGGTGCTGTGGGAAGGTGATTTATCCATGTCTGTTTTCTAAGGCCTGTGGGACTCATTCCCTGGAGCCCTCAATAGCCCAAAAGCAACAGTACATTTCTCTTGCCCTCTACTTCTCTGTAGAGTTTCCAGAAACTAAAATAATCACAATTACAATTAGGCAGCGGGGTCTAGAGGAAAGTTGTGAGGCAAACACTGACCTGCTGTGTTACCCGGGGAAAGTCATTCCCTGGGGCTGTCTTTTCCCTCCCATCCTTTGCCTGTCTTTTCTACTCTAAGCTCGTTCAGGTGGAGTCTTTGTCGTACCTAATGAAATGGGCCTCTGACATCAGATGCAACTATCAGATAATTAATTAATTATTAAAAAGCTAAAGGCCAAGGTGTCCTGAGATCTGATCCCAACTATTCCTCTGACTGTTCAGTCACTTCACTGCTCCATTTCTCAGTTTGTCATCCATCAAATGGGGATAATAATTACAACTTGGAGGATAATTCATAATGAATAGCCATGCTCAAAAATATCTTCCTGGCAAAATAGATTTTTGAAGAAAAATTGCTTGTCATTGAAAATAATTTTGGTGTGGAAAAAAATTCATTTTGGACTCATTTTTCTATGGGTTTTTGTTTGTCGGTGTGGGGAAGCTGTTTTTGGTTTTCTTTTTATGAAAACCTGGAGATGGAAACCTTTTTTGTATATTTTTTCAGGTCTTGGGGAAAAAGTTTTCAATATCAGAAATCTTTTCTCCAAACTAGAAAATATGCACCATAAAGTGGCATTTTTACTAGAGAAAATTTTTGAAAACCAAACACTTTTCAGCCTCCAGTTTCATTTTTTTGCCCAGCCCCCATCCAAAAGCAATATTATGGGATGTTTCTAATGAAAACAAAGCAATGACATTTCTCAGAAAAATACAATTTTCATTTTTGACCAGCTTTAATAATGAATAATTAAAACTAAATTAAATGCATTTGCGTTGATATGGGTGCAACATTCATTGGAATTTTATTTGACAACATCTGCTTGTTATAGATCAGAGGAACTGTCTAATTGAGTCAGACCTTTGGACCATCTAGTCCAGGATCCTGTCCCTGGCAGTGGCTAGTACCACCTGATTCAGAGGAAGGTCTAAGGTGCCCCATAGAGGACAATTCTTGAATAATCTGCCCATGGTGGAGTCTCACCGTCATCAGCTAATGAATGGATCTATGGTGTGAGGAAGGCGAGTTTCTATCCTTCAGAGAGTTTTATCTACTCTAAAGTAACTGCATGCGCACATTATCCATATAGACTGGAATGTTTGAAGGTACCTACTGGATTTGCATGCCTAAATCCAGTTTGCTTTCAATAGGAGTGCCCAGCTCCATTAATCCCCTTTGAAAATCTCGCCTAGTTTATTATTAATTACTTATTTCATAGATTCTCCTTCACTGAGAACTTTCAAATCAAGACTGGATGTTTTTCTAAAGGATCTGCTCTAGGTATTATTTTGGGGACATTCTCTGGGCTGGGTTGTACAGGGGGTCAGACTAGAAGGTCACAATGGTCCTTTCTGGCCTTGGAATCTATTAATCTAATTTGAACTCCCCCAAGAATGGGAACAAAGTGTCTCCAAAAAACTCACAAAAATGGTAGTTCTTTTAAATTGTTAAATTTCTATGAATTATGTCAAGAAAGTTTGAATTGTTTTAAGGGAGTAAGATGATTCTGATCCCCCCCCCCCCCCGCCGTGTTTTTGACCAGCTCTAGTAAAATTAATTCCGGGAGATATTAGCTGAATTAGGCCACACCTCAGAGTAATACATCTCCACCTCTCTCAGTGAAGTAGGCTACAGCTTTGTACATGTCATAATATCTCCTGGGGACAGATTTCTGTCCAGGACTCTACAACAATCAAACATTAAACCAGTTCCTTGACAATCCCAGTTTTGTGCTCATGGTGGGGCCAGCATGACCAGTGATGGAATTTTCGAGGTTGCCTATAGATATTTGGCCATCAAATTCCAGTTAGTTTTAATGAGGATTGGCTTTTTCTTTGGGTCTCTGAACTTTTGTATGCCAGATCCCTCTGGTCACTTTGAAAACCTCAGCCTAGGAGTCTAGCCAATGTTGTGGGAACAACAATGCAGTGAATGAAGCTCCAGGTTTACATACCTCACTTGGTGTCTGTGTAAAAGGGCCTCCCCAGGAATTTGGAACTAAAGCTAGTTTTTGGTGCCCAGCTCGAGATGACTGAGGCCTTTCAGAGCGATCGGGAGACAGAGTCATGTGATGTGGAGCCAGACAGACTGAGAAGTGGGTTGCAAGACAGCAAGGATGTGCCTCCAGCTGAGCCCATGAGGTGCCCAGAGATAATCAGGAGGCCCCTGGGTTCAGAGGCCAAACCTGCTAATGGGTTGGCTAAAACCTGCTCCAAAACACAAGTGTCTGAACCTGCTGAGAAAGTGAGGTGAGCACTGTCAAGAGAGGGAAACAGGTCACGAATCAGAGTGGGGACTAGTGGTTAGAAAATAGAGGGGATGTGAGTCAGGACTCCTGGGTTTCTGTCCCAGCTCTGGGGGGAGGGGAGTAGGGTTAGTGGTTAAAGCAAGGGGGCTGGAAGTCTGGACTCTTGGGTTCCAGTCGTTACTGCCTTTGAATCTCTGTGTGACCTTGTGCAAGTGACTTCTGCTGCTCTCCATGCCTCAGTGTCCCCATCTATTAAATGGGGCTTATCAGACTCGCTCCTTTTGGAGTCAATAGTGCTGGATCCCCAGCTGTTGTGAAACAGCCATAGCTTCCTTGGAGCAAATGGTGCCAGATCCCCAGCTGGTGTGAACAGGCAGAGCTGGTGTGAACAGGCAGAGCTCCGTTGAGGGCAGTGTGGCAGTATATGGGAAAGATCCAGTTGTGGAGAAGCCAGCAGAAGTGGCAGCCATATCCCTGCAACTGGGTCCACCCCTTGGTGTGTAAGTTACCTCAGTGCGGGGTTCCATTCTCACCCCTTCCCCACAATAAAGCTCCGATGTGCTTGGCCCGTACATCTCTGCTTGGCTCAAAGTGCTGTTATACATTGAGGTGCTAGTTAACAGTGGCTGTTATAATGTCCTCCCCTCTCCACGGTCTGTGTGTGCTACAGGGACCCACACTGATGGGATGGAGCATGGGAACCTCATGGAGTTGACAGAGTTTGTCCTGGTGGGGCTATCTCAGACCCATGAGGTACAGCTCATCCTCTTCTTCCTTTTCCTGCTCTTCCACATCATCATGCTCCCAGCCAACTTCTTCATCATCCTCACCATGCAGGGCAGCCCCCCTGCTGGGATCCCCCATGTATTACTTCCTGGACAACTTGGTCTTCTGCTACTACTCTGTCAACCATCCAAAAATACTGGTCAACTTCTTCTCCCACTGCAAGACCATCGCATACCAGGGTTACATGGCCCAGCTCTTCTTCCTCCACCTTCTGGGGGTAGCCAAGGTCATGGCTTATGACTGCTACATGGAACATCTGCCAACCTCTGCACTGTACCAAGCTCAAATAGAGAGGGGCCTGCTGCACCCTGGTGAGGGACGCGTGGATAGGAGGCTTCCTACATTCCATTGTCCAGGTGGTTCTGACCATCTGACCATCCTTCTGAGGCCCCAACAAGCTTGACAACTTCTTCTGTGATGTCCCTCAGGTGATCAAGCTGGCCTGCATTGACTCTTATGTGGTGCAGCTGCTGATGTTCTCTGACAGCAACGTGGTCACCTTGATGTACTTTGTCCTCCTCCTCATCTCCTACACTGTCCTGCTGGTCAAGCTCAGGATCCGGTCCAGGAAAGAGCAAAGTGGTTTCCATCTGCATCACCCACATCATCATCAGTCTTCATCATATTCAGTCCAGCCCTCTATGTCTACACCTGGCTCTTTGGCAGCTTTCCCATGGACAAGGTGGTGTCCATATTCCACACTACATTGTACATGATCATCAGCACCATAAAGAGGAAGATGGGAAGATAAGGGCTTTGGAGAGGGTAATAAATGGAAGTCAGAATAAAGAATTGTCAGACTGGGACACATATTCTTGGTGTAGGGCTCAGTTTTGCTTTTAGTTATACTGCAACTCGGTAGGATCTGGAGTAACTCTGTGGTAATCTGTAGTATCTATGGAGCAACTAGAATATGTGAAGTAACTTACTAATAAATCTGTAGTAACTATGGAATAGCACTGTAACATATATGAAAATCCCTGTACAATCTGTGGAATAATGAGTAAATCTGTAGCATTTACAGAACAGCTATGTATTAACTCTATAATGAATAACTCTAGAGTAGATGTGGAGTGAGCCTGTAGTAAATGTGTTATATCTGTGGAGCAACTCTGTAGAATCTATGGAGTTGCTCTGTAATGTCTATGGACCATCTTATGAATCTGTAGTGTCAATGGAAGATCTGTGGGATGACTATGGAGTATATCATGGATAACTTGAGAGTTTACATTGGTGTAACTGAGAGAAGAAATTGGCTCATTATATTTTACATCTGAATATGGTGTAATTAATATGTAATATGTGTAATTAATACTAATTAATAGGCAGGAGATGATTATCACTTGTATTAGCTGTGTTAAAACACAGAAGGAATCTTGGGTATGAGTCAATGTGTTTGAATAAGTGTCTAGAATTAAATTCATGTCACTTAAAATTGCAGGGTTAATTATTGTCTTGATTTATATTATGCTAGCACATAAGGGACCTTACTGAGATCAGGTCCCTTTGTACCAGGCACTGTACACATTCATAGTAAAAGTACCCTAGTAGGTACCCCTGCCCCAAAGACATTACAATTTACATAGGCAAGACAGACAAACAGTGGATGAATGGAAGAATGATTGCCCTTGCAAAACTGAGACCAGAGAGATTAAGGCTGGAATGTTCTGTAATGCCTAAAAGAGCTTGCTGATGTCACTGAAAAACGCAAGGTCAGGAGCAGCATTGGGAATTTAACGCAGGTGGTCTAAGACCCAGCCCAAGTCCTTGGCTACAGCACCATGCTTCTTCTAGAATAGGGAGGAGAGTCAAGGTTATATGGGCGACCTGCAAACTTATGTCACTTTCCAGCTTGTCTGTGGAGCTGTGAAGACCTGGAGTCTGGACCCTGCTGGGTTATTGGTTTTATGTTTTTACTTTTTTCACCTTCTTTGTTTAAAAAAACAAAACAGAGCACACACAAAGTCTGGGCAATTGCACACTGTACTGTACATTAATGTTGTGTGATTAAGCAAATTCAAGACATGGTTGGGCAAGCAGCCTTAACACTACCCTTTGTGCCTACAGGATATTTTGATGTAGCCTTTAATTGCATTACCACATGACATGTACTGCAGTGGCAGATATACATGTGACACACAGTCTTGTACATTTCATACTAGCATCTGGGGCCTTGACCGAGATCTTGGCTGCACAAGAGGGACCATTGGTCTAAGCCGGCTGAGCAGTGAGGCCAGGCACTCGGCTGGACGTACCAATGGCTTGGTGAAGCATTCACAAGAAGGCTGTGGTAGCAGGTTAGCTGGAGTATCAGATGGATCCAGGGTGATGGGGAAGGCAGGATACAAGGTTGGATGGGTAGGTAGAATCATAGAAATGTAGGGCTGGAAGTCAGTTATTTCCCATTTTGTAATTGTGATGTGTTTGATTTTTCCTTCCTGGGGGAAGTACTTTGCACTTGTCTTTATTGCATTTCATCTTGTTGGTATCAGACCAATTCTCCAATTTGTCAAGGTCATTTTGAATTTGAATGTCCTGGTGCTGCACTGAGGGGGAGACTGGGCTGGATGGGACCACTGGTCAGGTCTGGGGTGGAAGGAAAGGGAGCAGAAGATTTCATTTTTCAATAAGATGATAATGTGGAACATGGGCATGGAGACAGGATGGCTGATGAGAATGAGGGCATAGAAATGGAAATGATCACCTCTGAGGTGGAAGCAAAACTTAACAAGCTTAAAGCACTCAAATCAAAGGGACCAGATGATCTCCATCCCAGAATACTGAAAGAACTGGCACCTGACATTGCAAGTCCAGTAGCACGGATATTTAACAAATCTACCAATTTAGGGGTAGTACCATATGACTGGAGAATAGCTAATGCATTACCTATAGTTAAGAAATGGAAAAAAAGTGAGCTGACCTGTTAACCTGACCTCACTAGTATGCCAGGCTGTAGAACAAATTTTGTAGGAAAGAATAATTAAATTCATGGAGGTAAACAGAAAAGGGGATACAACACAACATGGGTTTACCAAATGTAGATGGTGCCAGACTAACCTAATGTTTTTCTCTGAGAAAAAAAAACTGATTTACCAGACAAGGGAATTGTGGCAGATCCCATCTACCTGGACTTCAGTAAAGCATTTGACATGGTATCACATGGTAAATTATTAGCTAAACTGGCAAAGTTGGGGATTAGTACAAGAACTGTAAGGTGGGTATGACATTCCCCTATGGTGTTGTCTGGACCGGTGATCTGCTAGGCCACTCCAGTCCTTGACTCTGGGAGCCAGCCTTACCCTGCTCTGCTGTGAGAACCCCCACTCCTGGGCTGTTCACACACAGCCTCTGGCATGTAAACTGCTCCCAGCTACTTGCAATAGAATGACACTCGCCAATATCTCTGGTCCTAGATGCAATCCTAGGGACCTCCATCTTGCAGTGTCCAGTTATGCCCTCTGGACGCTGCAAGCTTATATGAGTTCATCAATTTAACAAAGAAATTGATATGTACTGAGTTTGTTATCCCAAGGGGAGCCTCTGACACTGCAAACCAAACACACTGATTCAGGTAGAATAAACAGATTTATTAGCTATAAAACTAGATTTTAAGTGATTATAAGTCAAAGCACGACAAGTCAGATTTGGTCAAATTAAATAAAAGCAAAACACATTCTAAGCTGATCTTAACACTTCCGGTGTCCTTAAAACTTAGATGCTTCTCACCACAGGCTGGCTGGTTACTTTTCAGTCAGACTCTCCCCTTTGAAATCACTCCTTTCATGTCAGTAGTGCAGAAGAAACTGCCTTTAGAAGGGAAATATAATAAAAATATACCAATCAGAATATATAAAATAAAATGTTCTGCATTTAAAAAGGAAAATACAATGTATGCATTTATTTGGGCACAGTATATCTCTTGTGTGAAAGTGAGCCTTTTCATAATCAGCATTATACAGATGTGTAAACTGAGGCATAGACAGGTGACTCAATTTTCTCAAAGTCATACAGTGAGTCAGAAACAGAATCCAGGAGTATTCACTTTCAGTCCCCTACTCGAAACAATTAGACTTTTCTTCCTGCTGGAGCTGGAAATAGAAGCCAGGAGTCCTGACACTCAGGCCCCCTTGCTCTAACCACTAGATCCCACTTCCCTCCCTGAGCTGGGAATAGAAGCCAGAAGTAGAGCTGAGTGAATCACTGATTTTTTTTTATTCAATGGCCAACCCCAAAACTATGGAAAAATAAAAATAAAATTGGGTCAACCAGAAATGGATTTTTTTCTTCCCAAAAATGGAAAAAAAAATCCAACAATTGGGTTAAACAAAAACAAAACATTTTGGTTAACCTGAAATGAAACATTTAATTTTGTTTTGGTCAAACAAAATACTTCATTTGACCAAAATTATTATTATTCCTTTGTTTGTTTCATTTTGTTCTTGGGGTGATGTTGTTATTAATTATTATTATTATTTTACCATTTTGTTTGTTTTTAAAGTAAAGCTAGTTAACCATCTAAAAAAAGTCATTTTGGAAAAAAAGGTTGAAATGTTTCATTTAGTAAATGTCAAAATGAGCTGATTTTTTTTCAGCCAAAACTATTCACCAAATTTGACCTGAATTCATGAATAGTTTTGGTTGCCCTGAAACTGTGTTTTTTGACAAATAAATTCCCAAATTAATAGGCGTCCCTGATATAACATGTACAGCCCAAACCTTTTAGTTAACACAGTCAAGGGAGCAGTTAGGAACAGAACACGGAGATCTGTTCTTCCTTACCTCCATTCTGTAAAACCCAGCGTGGACACTTATTATCTGCCATTACCTCCTATGGCTGATGCTTACAGATAATCTAAGCCTCTGACTGCCAGATGCGGGGACTGGACGACAACAAAGAGCCCATACACATAGCTGGTCCCGTCTAATCTTACACTTCACTGCCAGC